CCCCAGGTTTAGGGGTAATTTTTGAACGTTTTCAACTTGAGAATGGAATTTTCTGACCTTGGAAACCCCTAAAAACCACTTTTTGAGTCTAGGAACCCCTGGAAATGCCTAAAAACCCACTTTTGCACACCATGGCCTAGAATTTTGGGATTTCTAGGCCAACAACTAGTTTTTGGGGTTCCGGATGAGATTTTTGATGTCAGAAACCACTAAAAATACTCAATTTCTTCAAAATCCAAATATTTTTGTTGGTGGCCTAGAAAACCAAAATATTGGATTTCTAGGCCACGGCCTCAAAAGTTGAAATTTCGACGTTTTAAGGGCTTTCTGACCCTGAAAATGTCGTTTTTGATGTCAGGAAACCTTGAAAATCGTTCTAAACTACAGAAAACAGCTATTTTTACCTTGATGGCCTAGAAACCCAAAATTTGATTTTTCTAGGCCACCAACTTTTAAAATAGGATATCCAGCTGTTTCCTAATTTGATAAAAATCAATTTCAGAGAAAAACCTGTTCGAAAACCCCGAAAACTTCCAATTTCTGAATGGGGCCTAGAAATCCGAAATTCTAGGCCACGGGTTGCAAAACTGGTTTTCAGGCCATTCTTGACCTAAAAAAATGGTTCCAAGGGGTTTCCGGAGTCAAAAATGCTATTTTTCACCTTTAAAACCTTCAAAAATCACTCTAAAAGTCAAATTATTGGTGAAAAATGAAATTTTTTAAAAAGCTTTAAAAATACCTGTTGTGTCAATTGACTCAATGGCATCGAACACTGGAATTCTCCATTTCTAACGTTCCCGTGATTATCCCAATTATAATTCCGTCCATTATAATTGAACGGCTCCGTTGCCGACTTGATAATTGCCTTTCCAGCTTCGTAGGCCAAAATTCCACCGGCTGCTCCGAGAGCTCCACCGATAAGCGCCTTTTTGAATGTTCCAGATGATGATTGGGAGCCGAGACCGGTGCCAGGACGGAATCTGCAAGAAAAACCGTTGAAAATGACTTAGGATGGGCATTTTTAGGGTTGGTGGCCTAGGAAACTCAAAAAAAAATTGGATTTCTAGGCCACTGACTGATTTTTGAAACTTTTTAACGTCAAAAACGGCATTTTTGGGGTCGAAAACACCTAGACATGACAAAATTTCGAATTTTTGGAACGTGGCCTAGAAATCCAAAAATTTGGATTTCTAGGCCACCGATGAAAAATTTCAGTTTTTGATTATTTCCAAGCAATTTAATGCGTTTTAGACATCAAAAACGACATTTTTTAGGGTCGGAAACCCCAAAAAACGCAAAATTTGCGACTTTTCAGGTGGTGGCCTAGAAATCCAAAATTCTAGGCCAAGGGTTCCCAATGTGAAAAATGCCATCTTTGAGATTTAAAACCTCGAAAAACCGCTTATTTCACACCGGTAAGCCCTGAAAACCTGGTTTGCTACCCGTGGCCTAGAATTTCGTGGTTTCTCGGCCACCAACTTCAAAATTTCAATTTTCACTGTTTTCGAGGATTTTTGAGCTACTTTTGAGGGTTCTAAACGTCAAAAACAGCGTTTTTGGGGTCGGAAATACCTAGAAATGACAAAATTTCAAAATTTTAAGTGGTGGCCTAGAAACCCAAAATTTTGGATTCCTAGGCCACCGGCAAAAAATTCAAAAGTTTGTCATTTCTAGGTATTTTCGACCTCAAAATGCCATTTTTGACATCTAAAACCCTTAAAGCCCCTTCAAAACTCATGAAAATTGTTAATTTGACTTTGATGGCCTAGAAACCCACATTTTCAGAATTCTAGGCCACCAACTTCGGAAATGGGATATCTCGCAATTTTATAGGTCAAAAAAGTTGATTTCAGCTAAAAATCTGCTCAAAAATACTGAAAACAGCCAATTTTCAAAGGGGGACTAGAAATCCCAAAATTCTAGGCCATGGGTGGCAAAACTTGTTTTTAGGCATTTCTGGACCGAAAAAAGTGGTTCTAGGGGGTGTTCGTGCTCAAAAATGGCATTTTTGACGTTAAAAACCATAAAAAGTGACTCCGAAAGCTGAATTTTGGGGGTTTTTATGTTCATGAGCTTCCTAGGACGTTTTGAAGCGTTCTGGGGTCATTTTCAGTGTTTTTTGGGCTAGAATTTTGGGATTTTCGTCCATACTAACCCTCCTTGATTAGGATGAAAACCTCCTTGGTTTCCATGGAATCCGCCTTGATTATTGTTAAATCCGGGATTTGGCCGTGGCTGATTATTGAATCCGCCCGACGGATGGGGCTGATTCTGATGGAATCCTCCTCCCTGTTGGCCTCCACCAAATCCTCCACCGTTTTGTACTTGTGTTCTGGACCCACTCATTCCACGGGACCCGAAATTCCCTCCGCCGCCGCCTCCGATGTTCGATCCTCCGCCGGAGGTTGCTCGGCGAGCATCGATGGGGCCGGCGGTTAGAATGAAGAGGCAGATTACTGTAGAGTAGAGATGTCGGAACATCCTTTTTTCGCTGAAAAATGAGTGGAAAATATTGTGGGAAATTGTGGAAAAAAAACGAGCGGGAAATTTGAAATTTTCGGAGAAAAATTGAAAAATTAGGTAAAAAAATGGCGAAAATTTGAAAATTTTGAAAATTTTGAGTTCAAAATTCAACAAAAAACCTGAAATTCGCTGGAAAAAATCATCAATTTTTCAAATTTCCCGCCGAAACTGCGAGTTTGCAGTTTTGGCGGGAAACCACAATTTTCGAATTTTTCGGTTTTTTTTTTCGAAAATTTCCAATTTTTTGTCATTTTTAAACACATTTCTTTCAGGGAAAATTGCGGGAAATTTGAAAATTGAATTTCAAAAAATTTGAAAAAAAAAATTGCGGATTTATACTAAACTGTGTAGAAAATCCTCCCGAAAATCCGCCTAAAATCTCTTTGAAACGCGCAAAAAAAGTCGAAAATCGTCGGTTTTTTTTTGAATTCCCGCCGACACTGAAAAATTGAAAAAAATTACAGTTTTGGCGGGAATTCAAACAATAATTATCGATTTTCGATGTTTGTGTCATTTTCGCACAATTTTACATGTTTTGACTGTCTAAAATGATCCAAAGCCAATGACCTAGCGTCTGTGTGGCCTAGAAATCCGCATTTCTAGGCCATTTTAACAGAATTTCGAATCAAAAATGACAAATTTTGAAAAAAATATGATGAAACCAAACGAAGGGGGGGGGGGGTCAACAACACCATGGAGACCAGGGGAGGGGACCACCGGAACAAGTGGTCCCAATTCAAATGTCTGCGTCTCTCTCTCTCTCTCGATAGCTCGTCAGGTGACTCAAGGAACTAAAAATCACACAAAAAAAACGAAAAATTGGCTCAACTTCAAAATTTTATTCGAGAGGGAAATTTAAAATTTTTGAATTTTTTTAATGCTTTTTTTCCTCCCAAATACAAGAAATTGAAAGAAAAAGTAGAGGAAATCTAGAGATCAAATTGCGGTTTTTCGTTTTTTTTTTTTGCGTTTTTCTCTTTCTTCTGTACAGTGTGAAGACGTTAGTTTAACGTCAACAACACACACAACCGGAACTAGATTTCTTCATTTCTCGGCGAAATGGGCGGTGGCTACCTGATTAGAATCTCTCTTGATTTCTGTCTCTAGAATTTTCGAATTTTCGAAACGAAAGTAATATAAAAAGGCAAAATTTGGATTTCTAGGCCATGACCTAAAAATTTGAATTTTTTTAATTTTTAGGAGGTGTCCGACCCCAAACATGACGTTTTTGATGTTTAAAACCCATAAAAAGCTTGGAAATAATCGAAAAACCGAAATTTTTTATCGGTGGCCTAGAAATCCAAAATGTTGGAATTCTAGGCCACGTTCCGAAAATTCGAAATTTTGCGGTTTTTTGGGGTTTCGCACTCCAAAAATGCCGCTTTTTTTCTTCAAAATCAAAATTTTCTAACAATTCAAGATGATGAATGTAGAGCCGGAAAAGCCCTTCAAAATGATACTAAATTTGGCTCATTTTGATTTTTTGAATTTCGCGGGAAATCAAAAATTTGAAACTGGCCAAGTTTAAGGAACATTCTGAAGACCTTTTCTAGGTCTACATTTCACATTTTCATATTTGAAACTTTGGTTTCCCTTATTGATTTTTTGTAGGCTCCGGGACGTTTCAGAACCCGACGTTTCGGAACCACGACGGTTCAGAACTTTTCTGCATTCTTTTATAGTGGTTTTTGCACACCAAATGAGCATTGCTCATTTCAATTTTGTGCTTTTCTGCTTTTTTCAACCATTCTCATCTACCGTACTGCAAATAAAGATACGTTCACACTCGGAATCTCTCAAAAAATCGAATAAAAATTTCAAAATTTCAAAAACAATGTCTAGAATCAGACTCATATTCGCCGGTACTTCCAGACATCGTTTTTGGAATTTTCAATTTTTTTATTCGATTTTTTGAGAGATTCCGAGTGTGAACGTATCTTTATTTGCAGTACGGTAGATGAGAATGGTTGAAAAAAGCAGAAAAGCACAAAATTGAAATGAGCAATGCTCATTTGGTGTGCAAAAACCACTATACAAGAATGCAGAAAAGTTCTGAACCGTCGTGGTTCCGAAACGTCGGGTTCTGAAACGTCCCGGAGCCTACAAAAAATCAATAAGGGAAACCAAAGTTTCAAATATGAAAATGTGAAATGTAGACCTAGAAAAGGTCTTCAGAATGTTCCTTAAACTTGGCCAGTTTCAAATTTTTGATTTCCCGCGAAATTCAAAAAATCAAAATGAGCCAAATTCAGTATCACTTTGAAGAGCACGGGGGGGGGGTGCGACCGGTAACATGCAGCAAACGCGCTTCGTCGCACTCAAGGGGTTGGCACCGAGCCAAGTCATCATTTATTCAAAAGAAGGACTCTCACTTTGCGTTGCGAAATTTCTCTGCGTATCCTCTCCGTGTGGCTACGCAGCGACCGCGTCGCGCGGCGCAACGCGCCCAAGAGAACTGACTCAAATTTGAATGCATGTACGCTGTTGCAACCACGTGGAAGAGCTTTTCCAGCTCTACAATCATCATCTTGAATTGTTAGAAAATTCCGATTTTGAAGCAAAAAACGGCATTTTTGGAGTCCGAACCCCCAAAAAACCGCAAAATTTCGAATTTTCGGAACGTGGCCTAGAATTCCAACATTTTGGATTTCTAGGCCACCGATGAAAATTTCGGTTTTTGATTATTTCCGAGCTTTTTATGGGTTTTAAACATCGAAAACGTCATGTTTGGGGTCGGAAACCTCCGAAAAATGAAAAAATTCAAATTTTCCAAATTTTCTAGGCCACCAAACCTAGAAATTTGAAATTTTTTTTACTTTAAGCTTCTTGAAAATTTAAAAAAAACCTATTTCAGTTTGAAAAACTGCTCAAAAACATCAAAACCAGCCATTTTTTGAAAGGGGACTAGAAATCCGAAAATTCTAGGCCACGGTGGGCAAAAGTGGTTTACAGGTCATCCTGGACCAAAAAAAGTGGTTCCAAGGGGCTTCCGACCTCAAAAATGCCATTTTTAACGTCCAAAATCCTCAAAAATCACTTTAAAAGTCGAATTTTCGCGGGAAAATTCAAATCGCTTCAATCGCTTCAAAAATGAACATTTCTTATCGGTTCAGAATGGGTATTGTAGAGCTAGAAAAGCTCTTCAAAATAATGCTAAATATGGCTCATTTTGATTTTTTTTGAATTTCGCGGAAAATCAGAACTTTTACAATTTCAGGAATTTCGAAAACTAGATCATGGGAAAAATGTAAAAAATCATAGAAAAAAAAACAATGTGGTCTGTTGAAATCGACTCTCAAAAATCAATGAATCGAAATGAATAACACAAAAATATGACTTAGTCATCCAAAGGCAAAAACTAGACAATACCTTCTCTGCGTCTCTCTCTCTCTCTCTCTCTCTCTCTCTCTCTCTCTCTCTCTTTCTATGNTCGGCCGGTCCAAAACTTCATGGCCACGTGTCGAATGGGACAAAAATGAAACAAATAAAAATACAAATGAAATTGAGTGAAAAGGTGTCCAAAAAGAAGGGAAAATCGGCTAATTTGACCAATGCGTCTCTGTCTGACGGTGGACTGTACACAGTAGT